ACTGTCCAAAAACATTTCCAAAGCCTAAAAGAGAAACGGTTGTGAACACATACAACAATTGTCCTTCCATGCCAACATGTCTCACCAATATGAACATGGCAGTACTGCCATCCCAAAGTGTCCATGCTTCATAGTAGTACTTGCATTTCATTGATGGTAAGGAACCACGCATTCTGGAAATGATGACATGTATGATGGTGTTTCCCTAAGATATGAGTGGATCATTTTAAGAGATAAAATGGTGATGAAGGTGGTATAATCAAATTTTTTGGGATTTCTATAGCAATTTAGAACCTGAAACTATGCAACTTTAAGTAAATTTCCATAAAAATTCCACTTCAAACAAAGTTACTTTTATAAAGTCATTATGATCTCAATTGTATTTATGAAAATATTAAAATTAAAATTTGAACATAGTAGGTTGCTTAACATATAAGCATATAAATATCGCATGCCCAATGCATGGAGCTCTCATTGATACAGGCTCTTGGAGGAGTTTCATCCATGCAGCCTTACCCATGCATTGGCAAACAAGTTGTTTCCACAACTCAAATTAAAAAACTAGATGCAACTTAATCACTATTTTAGGCACGTCCTCTAATAAGATAAACAAGGAATGAACATAAATGGAATAAAACAGTAGACTTGCCGTAGTTAACTTGTTTAATGTTCCATCAATCTGCATGAAGTATGCCTGCACATATTTAGGGGAACTAATTAGTGTGTAATTTGGATAACCATTATGTTTCTATAACTTAAACGTAAGCGCAGAAATAAAGTCATGAGTATAAGAGCCTTGCTTATGACCTCAAGTAACATTTCTAGCTCCTCAACATCATTTTCATTTCCATGAATTGTTGCTGCACTTGCCCTGCTTGCTCTAGATATCTTTGAGCCTATTGTTGGTGAACCAGGACCCCAATTAGTAGCGACAGAACCACTTACAGGGGATGATGCACCAGCCAATTTTCTTGACAAATAAAGATCTGCCATATCATCATCATCATCGAGTAACTGCTCAAGTTCATCCCTAACCTGAGAAAGCAAAAAATATGGTAGAACTGTAGAAGTTGCATACATAATTTTTTGTAGCTGAGAAAACTATAGATGTCACACTGTGCTAGAAGTTTTACCATATTATAAAAATATTATTCAAATAGTTGGGATAAAACTAATGAGGATGATGATGATAAAAACTTCACGACAAAAAAAAAACCAAAACATCTAAAAAACCCAATGCAGAAAGAAAATTTTATAAAAGTGATGAAATACTTCTTCATTGATGTAGACAAAGGGGGGGTCAACTCATGTCAAAAATAATTAGATTTTTGGCTTCCCTTGAGTCTACTAGCTCAATCAAAATTGAGCTGAAATTTTAGCTCATTTATGAACTGGTCTTTAGTTCACTTATTGAAGTAAGGGTTAGCTCATTATTAGCTATGATTTTAGCTCATAGTTAATCTTACATTAAATGTTCTTTTTATGCTTTTTATGTTTGTAATCATGTTTGTCTCTTGGAATTCCAAACCGGCCTTTGGAATTCCAAGATTTACTTTTCCCATGAGGTGGCTCCTTGGCTTCCTCCATGGCCTTTAGTATTTTGTGCATTTGCCCCCTTGGATTCCGGCGGTTTCCTTGGTTCCCGTGGATGCCTCTTCGATTCCTTGGCTTGGGATGTTTTTTAGGTATTTTAATGCTATGTGATGTTTAGAATTCCTATGGGAATTTATTAGGCGTCTCTTCGTATTCCTCTTTCATACCTATAAATATGGGAGGATTTGTAATTTTTGAAAAAGAGAGAATGATATGTTATTTTTAGAAAAGCTATAACCTGCGGGTTTGCTTCGAAAATCCTGCGGGCTCTTTCCACCCTTCTTTCTAATCCCCTCCGGAAATCCTGCGGGCTCTTTCCACCCTTCTTCTTGGCTTCTAACCTCTTTCGTCTCTCCGCAAGTGCCACTCCACCTGTATCATTCTTTTCTAAGTGAAGCAACTTTAGGGTGTCGTCAAGTGATTGAGTCAAGTTTGTAAGTCGGTTAAATTTTGCAAGAGTCATTGTTGTAAGTCTTTTGATTTCTAGTTTTTACATTTAATTTGAAATGTAAGAGTTTGTTCTTCCCCTTCTTCTTCGTCGTTCCGGTGTTTTATTAGTCTTGCTTCTTGTGGGCGAAGGGTATAGGCAGCCCTATATTTTTTGCCCGCATCATTCATGCATAAGTACTGAATTGCAGTAAACATTAACTCATCTAAGGGTCAATAAATCCACAAACTCTGAAGCCTTCAGAGATATTATATAATTATTAGAATTGTGCATGAAAAAATGCAACGCCTCTAAAGTTTAAGAATGCATGAAAAAGTTGATGCAGTTTCAAAGGGGTGAAAGAGCTCTGGATCAATATAATACTTTTGCAAAATGTCTTCACAGATTAACGACCATCTCAAGCCTCATGTGTAGGGCTACAAACGAACCAAGCCGAGCCGAGTTTAGACATGTTCATGTTTGAGCTCGTTTGACCAGACCATGTTCAAGCTTGGTTTGAAGTTTGCCGAG